ACAATATAAAAAATAAGCAATAAAAATTAATTATTTAATTATAAAAGTGGGATATGTTTAAAATACAGTAGTATCAAGCAGCTGAAAAGTTTATTTATTTATTTACTTTTGTTTTTGTTGCTGAACATATATATTTAGATTCTACTGAAGTTATCACATTATTTGTATCTGCTGTACATTTTACAATTGTTTTATAAAAATGTTGCTGTATGAAACTAACAAGTTTAATCTGCTCTATACAGCCATTGCCATCTGCACAATTCTGTATGATATAAATCAGAATTATCACTACTGTATAGATTTTCCTGCTGACTGTATACTAGTTTACTTTATTTTACAGTTTTTATACTTTCTAACATTACAATTCCATTTTTTCTTGTTTGTAAAAATTAAATGCTTTAACTATAATTTCTTTACAGGTTTTTATTCATTTATTTATTATTATTATTTATTTATTTATAATTCTTGCTGCATATATTTTTCTACTTCTATATTTTACTGATTTCTTGCATGTATTTAAATTTCACTATTCTTCCTGTTTTAATAACTGGAAGGGTTTTGTTGTTTCTTCCTGCTACAGCTGCTGTATATCTGGATTTATAAAATGTATATGCTTAGATATTGTTAGTCTATACATCCTGATTTTGCTACTTATATACTCTTCAGTTCTGTTTAATATGTTTATTGCTTAAGCTACTGTTATACAGTTCATGTATGTATGTTTCTGCTGATTTTATACTTTACTAGCTGCAAGATCCCGCTTCGCTGGGTTTTTATTTGTATGTAATAGTATAGTTTTTTATATATATATATATATAGATTATGTAAATTTGACTTTTATCATCTCTGCTGCTTGCTAATATATAAAATATATACTGTATAGGCCTACATGCTATCCTAATATAATGTGTTCTAATTGAAATGTTATTCAAGTTTTAAAAAATTGCTTTCTTCTTCAGCTTATTTTATGTAGTTTATGAGTGCTTTTTTATATAATTAATGATTTAATTTGCCATTTTTTATGTATAATATACATTTTTTAGGCTCTTAAAAGACAAAATTACTACATTTTTTCATTTATATGTATGATCTTTGACATCTTTTAGAGAATTTATCTATGGCTACTAATTCATTGAAGCTATATTTAAAATATTCAGAATATACTGAAATTTTGGGGTAAGAAAAGAGGAAATTTATAGAGATTTTAGGAAAAAATTAAAGACTTTAAAATACAGTAGTAAGTACAGGTAAGCATAATTTAAAATTTTTATCATTTCAAAATGGCGGCTGTTCAGTTCATATAAATCATCAAAAAAAAATTCAATAATTTTTTAATGAATTTGAACAGAATTTTTACTGTGAATACATTTTATCAAATTACATAACATGGCATACAAAAATGTTTAATTTCACCAAATTAAACAAAAAACGCCATTCATTACATAAACACTTTATGCCTCTATAAACTACTTTATGACTCAAAAAAACTCATACAAATTAATTGCAAGTCATTTATTAAGTTATACATTAATTCTGTTGCCGTTGACATTTCATTACATGCGAAACAAGGGCAAAAAAATTCTATATTTTTTGACCTTTAGTCGAATATTCAGTTTGAATGACACGTTATAAAAGAATGTAATTATAGTAATGATTGCGTGGTGCGTTGACATCGTCTATACACTATTTACTCATCATTTATTCAGTAACTTTACAGAATATTAACAGCATCAGTGTAAAGGAGTCCAGACGTGTCGACTAGTCTATTTAATTAATTTATTAGCAGATAAAGAGACGTTTCGTTTCGTTGTTACACAATTTATTGAACGTAATTAAAAATGTATCGACCCTCAGTAAATGAATACAAAAATATAACAGTGAATAATTTATCTAAAATATTTTCCTTCTAGATTGCCTGGTGTTTAAGCGGATGGCATGTTAAACGTTTTGCATGTTCCACGTGTTGAATATATTTTAAAAATTACATTATTCCCCCTCTCCTCTTAAAATTAATGCAGACATTTATAAAGTATTTTTTCTTNTTATAAAAGTGGGATATGTTTAAAATACAGTAGTATCAAGCAGCTGAAAAGTTTATTTATTTATTTACTTTTGTTTTTGTTGCTGAACATATATATTTAGATTCTACTGAAGTTATCACATTATTTGTATCTGCTGTACATTTTACAATTGTTTTATAAAAATGTTGCTGTATGAAACTAACAAGTTTAATCTGCTCTATACAGCCATTGCCATCTGCACAATTCTGTATGATATAAATCAGAATTATCACTACTGTATAGATTTTCCTGCTGACTGTATACTAGTTTACTTTATTTTACAGTTTTTATACTTTCTAACATTACAATTCCATTTTTTCTTGTTTGTAAAAATTAAATGCTTTAACTATAATTTCTTTACAGGTTTTTATTCATTTATTTATTATTATTATTTATTTATTTATAATTCTTGCTGCATATATTTTTCTACTTCTATATTTTACTGATTTCTTGCATGTATTTAAATTTCACTATTCTTCCTGTTTTAATAACTGGAAGGGTTTTGTTGTTTCTTCCTGCTACAGCTGCTGTATATCTGGATTTATAAAATGTATATGCTTAGATATTGTTAGTCTATACATCCTGATTTTGCTACTTATATACTCTTCAGTTCTGTTTAATATGTTTATTGCTTAAGCTACTGTTATACAGTTCATGTATGTATGTTTCTGCTGATTTTATACTTTACTAGCTGCAAGATCCCGCTTCGCTGGGTTTTTATTTGTATGTAATAGTATAGTTTTTTATATATATATATTATTTATTTAGAAGTGTGTCCTAATAGACATAGTTTACATTTAAGAGCGATTTTTATAGAGGAAATGAAAAATGTAGCAAAGAATTTTTCCGTCTGGCTTCATAATAAGATAAATATCCGTCTTCCGTTATTAACAACAGAAATTGAATTAGAATGGTCGAAAAAGGAGAATAAACTATCCTCATTTTGCCACATGCCGAGAACGGAAATGCATCATGCTGCGAACTCGTGCTCTGCGGTGACGTCACTGCCGAAATGGGTCACGTGCCCCAACGTACAGGACCATCGTTTCCTGTACATAGCGATATATGTATGTATATATTTTTTTTCTTCGTTACGCTATAAATATAAGTACTCACTCAAGCCTTTCTTACCGGAAAGTTATCTACGAGCTTCGCCTACTCCAAAAATTGCTGACTTGTTTTCTTATTTTTCTTTATTTATTTATTTTCTGCATGAGAGAAAAAATATTTTTTTCGCATCCCTAATTTTAAATCCTACAATTGTCTAACTTCATCCACTTCCTTGCTACGGTGTTGATTTTGTATTTTAAGATTCACACACATCTTCAAGCATCTCTAAGCTTTAATCCGTGCATTAGTTTTATCTTCTATAGAGTTTATAACCAGGAAATTTCTTCTATGTGATCTATTCTCGGGAGCATTTAATAAATAGGAAGCTCCGCTTCCTATGTAAATGCTCCTGACCAATATATATCAATAGGAAACAACTGTTTTCTATAGCTGCAGAGCGTTTACTTCTAGGAAGCAAGAGCTTGGTTGTATAAAATATCTGCTTGCTAGCAATTTTAAAGGTGCCCGTTACTGATTTGACACTGATTTTGTAAAAAAAAATACCCACTTTCAATCTTATAATTACGATTTACAAAATTCTTAAAATGTTTTTACAATTAGCACACCAACTTCATGCGGATTAATCTGATATTTTGCGAATTTACTAAAGCTATCCGGTTACTTTGTGTGATTCTTTAATCACCCTTCGATACTTTAACACAGTTAAAAGTTAAAAATATAAATTAATTACGTGCGAAATTAATTTACGCCCAATTAAATGGCTTACACGAAAATTTACAGTTCCATTAGAGCATGCTCACATTAAAAACTTCGCATACTTTAGGTTTCCTGTATACAAAATTTTATGTAATTTTACTAAATTGAAAACATTATACACATCCTGAAGTATTTCGACACGTGTTTGAATATGTTACAATAGCACTTCATTAGTAGCAATCAGTTAAAAAGCAAAGATCAAGGATCAAAACAGTGGAAGGACTTGAGTAATGTCGGCAAAATTTGATGCTTTACACGACATAATCAGCTTTAATTAATATAATTAAGATTATAATAACATTTATTCTAATTTTTGGACAGTTAAACTTACTGGAATTTAACTTATTTTCTGATATTTACAAACACAAAGCTGTCGAAATTTCATCTTTCCTCGAACAGATTGGGTAAATTAGAACGAATATAATTTTAAAAAGTCGATAGTTTTCTTAAAATTATTAGCTAAAAACAAGATTTTCGTAATTAACGACAGTTTGTCTGACGTTATTGAAAATTAACAGCGATTTTATCGGTCGGTAAATTGCGTAACAATAAAAAAATTTATGTCGTTCAATTTCTAACCGATTTATAATTTCAAAATTTTGAATTAAATGGTGAAAGTCGTGCATTTTTTTCTCTATATTTTTTAAAAATTATTTTTGCTTTTTTGAGTTTTTTTTCTAGAACATAAAATACGATTAACGAACACATTTCTATCAAAAATTTAAAAAGAAATTCCGATTTTTGTCGTATGTTTTGTTGCATTAAAATTACCAATCCGGATAGCGGTCACATTTAATTCTTTAACCGGAAAGGGGATGGTCGGATGCACGCTGTCACGTGGTACCAGGTGTGCATTCGTTCATCTAATATCACGCTCCAGGGAACAATTGAGTGCGAGGCCCTTTCCTATCCGAACCCTCCCCTTTCTTCCGCCTCCCCCTGACCGGAAGTGAGGCGGACACAACCTCCTTCCTGTTTCCCGACGTCTGGTCTCTTCACTTCTTCCACTGCTTCTGACGTGAACGCAGCACGTGCAGCTCGATCGCCCTCGAAACATGAAACAGAGGTTAGTAAAGTTCTCTTCTGTTACTATTTAACATTAGAAACGATTCAAATGCTTAAGAAATATCGTTTAAAACCTTACGTAGGGATTATTTTTAGTGTAAATGCTAAATGTCGAAGGTGCTAGAACAGAATTTCTTTTCTTCCCCCTCTTTTAAAATTGCATGTAATATGTTTGCGTAACACGTCGTGCGACGTCATCGTCTTAGATGACGCAAGAGGAAATGACGCTGTTTAAAATGTTAACAGTAGAAATTAACAAAGTTGTAAACGTGTTTTTAAAAAATTATTCTTCGCTGTATCGATCGATTCTCTTCCTGCACAGGCGCCATTTTTATTGAGGTAATATTTTCATTTCCATTTTCTCTATTTTGTTTCTATTTCCCCCCTCCTCTCGTCCTTTCCTCATTATCGTCTCTACTTTACTACTTAAGAGCCGAATATTTAAAGAATTCTCGGTATTCGCTTTGTATAAAAGCGGGCATTTTCATTTGCACGAGACAGGAAACCAACTTTGACCCATCTTGATGAGCTCAAAGTTCAAGCGATGTGACCTTGTTACATCAGTTTTTCCTAATAAATAAATAAAATTCGGAACATGTATATTACAAAATTAGTTATATTATCTCGTATACGGGAGATTTCCTCAAAATCGTTTGGCGCCAAGCGTTACGCGACGCATCGCGAAGTTAAGTTTGCGTTGCTTCGTACCGAAGTGCACGTGGCCGAAAATTTTGGAAATTTTTTCGATTCTTAAAATTGATGAGTTATTTTGTCGATTCGTACAAATTCTACGAAGTAATTTTAATATTTAGATGACGTTTTTAACTTTAAAATGCCGCCGAAACGTCACTGCTTCCGGCACGTGATAGCTGTTGATTTCTCGCGAAACATTCCCAATTTAGTAGTTTGCTAAAGGTCATAAAAACTTGAAACACTTTAAAATGTAAATTTTATTTATAGTTGTAACTAACTTTAGTTATGTATAATCTGCTCAAAATCTCAGGAAGCTATTCTAAGTTCATTTATAAGCTGATATCTCACAGTCACATGAAATATTATCAGCATTAGTGTCGTGTGGCATCACCAGAATTTCTATTTGTGACGTAATTTGAATAGTAAGGAGTTTAAAGTTCACTTATACTTCTAGGTATTGCCTCATAGTTCATTGATATCTATAAATTAGTATGGGAACTTTGTAAATAATTACCATGCATACAGAGGCTCATACATGTTGGAAGGATAGTGATACTATTATGAATGTCATGTTTCTTGCCTGTTGAAAGGCGCCTTTCAGAAAGGACATCCTCCAGGAGGAAAAAATAGGAAAACACAGTAATTTATCACACGATTATTAATGCTTTGAGACAACGTTGACTTTTGCTTAATGGAACCAAAATTTTTGGCCAAATTTGATAATTTAAGGGAGGTAAACTCTATATTTTTTTAGCCTGAATCCAAGTAATAATTGAGGTATCTGCTGAAAATGCCCGTAAGAAATAAGTGTCTAAGGCTAAAAATTACCTTAATTTTAGCCTGAAAATTTGATTCAAACTCATTTCTAGCTCAATATTAAGCAGTAGCTGGCATACTTCACATAAAAGCAATGCTTTTTAAGGCTAAAATCGAAGGCGTTAACTCAAATTTCTAGGCTGAACAGTAGCAATTTTAGAGATTTATTAAATAAACAAACTAAATAAAATCAAATAAATAAAATAAGATAGTCTATTTTAAAAAAAAGGTCAAAATACACTTTTAAAACCGATCAGCAAGCGAATTTGGACGACCACGACGATTAAATGAGGTTTTATAAAGGCTAGAAATGAGGGTTCGCTTCAAAAATGTCTAGAAAAGAGGTTGGTCGGGACACTCGTTTAACCGTATAAATGAGGGGGGAATTTTAATCGAAAAATTTCCCTAATCGCCTGTCGAAATTTGGGATATTTTCCCGAAGGCCGATCACTCGCCAAAATGTCGAAATATAGTAAAATAGGTGCCTTGTGGACATTTGCCAAGTAAGAACTACCCTCCTACTTAACCTAAATGATATCTTTTTCCCACCCAAACACAGCAGGAAATGACGACTGTAAGAAACTGCAGATGGTACTTTTTGAGGTAACGTTTTCCATATACTTAACAGTTCTAGGAAAGTTGTATGACTCATTTATAACACCAACTTGCTCACCCACATGATAAGAACTTGTACAAATATTCCACAAACACCGGATGTAACAATAAATGAAAACGGTTTTACTCCATCCTGTTTTCGACATTACGAAGTACACATTCATTCTGCATATGTAATTTTATTCTGCGCTTATGGAATTTGTCTATCTTTACCTGCATTCTTGCACCTTTTCCACGTATAGCCCGCGCTTCTCTTCACGTGACTCGTTTCGTGTTACCGAGTCCTTGACCCCAATAGTTGTTGAAGATAACTATTACGGAAGTTAACTCAGCTTTCTTATATGTGTGTATATATATATATANAATCTATAATCGCCGATGACAATCTGGCAACATTTAAAAAACTATTTTTATGGCGCTATCTTACGGTACCGTTTATTATTAACTCGAGAAAATAACAGAAGGCGCCATTTGTTACGATATATTTTTTGTTTTGGTAAATTTTTTGGTTTTTCGAATTAAGGAAGATAACTATTACGGAAGTTAACTCAGCTTTCTTATATGTGTGTATATATATATATATATACGCACACACACTAAATTCGCCCATTTTTAAGCAATTACAAACGTTCTAAGCCGTTGCATTAGCGCTTTTCGGCCTGCTAATATGGCGATATTTATTACAGAAGTGACTTTTTCCCGCTTTTTTTTTACTTGTGCCTCTCCTCCTTTCTCAAAGCCTCGGGGTGTGTTAAGAGGCAGCAGATGGGGAATGCCTACGTACCGGAAGCAAAGGACAGCCTGTCCTACTTCCGCAGTTGTCCTTGAGAAGGGGAGTGGGAGTGGGCACGCGCCTGTCCCTGACGCCAAACAATGCTAGTTGAGGGCCCAGGTGTGACTCAGTTCCTTTCATAACCCTGAACGGAGGGATGGGACAAACAGGATCCCCGCACGTGTTCCTCAGTAGATGTTGTCTCAACCATCCGGACCGGGAGCAATAAAAAAAGAAAAGAGAAAAACTTATGTGTCTACACATTGTTGTTCGCTCCTACCCCGATTTATTGTGTTCACCACAATCGCCTTCACCGGGGATTCATTTTAAATATCGCTTTATCAACGTATTGTTGATATGGATGATTTCAATCCAAGCAAAGTCCAGAAAGGAAGGAAAGAATTTTTTCTTTTTTATTATTTAATTTGTAAAAATATAAAACGTGCAGACATACGTACGTTCAGATTCTCGAATGGCCTAAACTCAAACAAGAAAATTTAGCAACTAGTTTTTCTCGATCGATTTATATTCTTTCTTTATTAACTAAGATATAGATTAGTTTGCCCATCCTCGAGCCACCCCGGATTGTTAACAACGAGCAGGTGGTTTTGGTGGTAGGTCGCGCTCGCGCTCGAAAACGATTCACCGCCGGGATCACGTGACCAGGGCCAGGTGACGTCTGCCCGACCCGCGCCAGGCCAGGAGCATGCAGCAGCTGGTGTTCTTTTTAAACAAAAGTGCTAGCGCTCGTTGCAGCTCGTGACGCTCCCGACCGGCTCTAAAAAATAAAAAAAAAAAAAAAGAAAAAGAGGAGCCAAACCCCTCTTTTCGTGTCCCTCGTAAACTAGAAGCTTTAGTCGATCGGTTAAGCTGGCAAACTCAAGACGTTCCTTGTTTTAAATTGCAGCATGAACAGTCCGGTGATGCTTCAGACTACTACCACATACTTGAACGATCCTTGTCGCATTCCACCTCTACCCCTCCTTGCCACCGATTCGTGGGAACAATGTTGCTTGCCTAAGGAATTTTGGCTTAAGGGACATACCAAAATAGCTTCGGATTATACAGAAACCTTGCCTCAAGGTAAGTCAAGCTTATAGCGTGATGTTCGCTCTTACCACAGTTTATTTTTTCCTTTCTTTCTTTCTTCGTAACTAATCGGAACGTTGCTACTATTGTTTTATAGATCCGAGACAATGGACGCGTCAGGATGTGGCCCATTGGTTGCATCATGTAACAACACGTCACCATCTTCCAGAAGTGCAACTCGATCGCTTTTTGATGAACGGAAAAGCACTCTGTTTGATGACCATCGACATGTTTGTGCAACGTGTACCTTTAGGAGGCAAACTACTATATAAAGACTTCCAGTTACGTCTCAGCAACGTCTTGTACAGTTGATTAAATTTATGTAAAAAAGAACAGAAAATAACAAATTTCTATAAAACACTCGAATGACACTGATACGATATGACACATCACGTTTTTCTCGTATTAGTTTCTATTAGAGTATGAACTTCTTCGCTAGTCACTACAAAAACAATCTCAATATTTATTTTAAAAAGATTCAGTTATTGATTAAAAACAAAGGAAAAGATACAAATTTTTACATGTTTTGTAATTTTCTGAGTGAATTTTTTTTAAAGTTGTCCTTCAAGCGGTAGCAGCTATGTAAATATTTTTGTGAATAAAATCTTGGATATAATGAAAAATTTATTCCTTTATTTATTATTTGTTTTTGTATAAAGCACTTATGCATTTACGTAAAAATTGCGTAAAGTATAGTTGCCTTAGCAATTCGTGTACGTTAAACAGACGGAATTCTAACAATAAGATACGGCTCCATCCCGGAATTTACGCATAAAATAAACATGGAACACGCTGAATCATCCAGGTAAGTACATAAAAGTACAGTTGTGTACATAATACGAATATATCTAAACGGACCATCGCGTTACTGTTTTAACAGTTTAATGCCTACGTATCGCGCGGTCTGTTTACCAACGATAATAGGGAATTTTAAGTGTTTCGTAGCGGAAGTCGCGGGAAAAGGAGATAAAATTAACATTATTTAAAGTAACTTAACAAAAATAAAGTAGCTTAAAACATGAATTAAGTCAAAGCATCATTTTTATCAGCGATCGTTCGCGCGGAGCCGACGCGTGCTTACTGCATTATTATCTAATCAATTTTGTTGTTGCTAATATAATTTTTAAAATATTTTATTTACATTTTCGAGTGTTTATGTGTAATTTTTAACGACAATGAAAAAAGTAACACGCGACGCGTTTGTCATTAAAACTGGTTGTGTCGCACTCAACTCTGGTTATTGTCGGCAGATGGTGTTAACGTCTTCACAACTTCTGCGTTTTTTTTAAATATTAATTTTTAATATTGTCGATAGAGGGAGACAAATACTTTTATCAATATTTTGCATGTTCTTTAATCGTAAAAATTTTATAATTAAATTTAAAAATGACTAAACTTACATACGTGTTAAATTTATTATTTTTTAATTTAAAATCATTTTAAAGTAAATTTACATATGAATTCCGGCATGGATCCTATTAAAAAAACTCAAAAAAATAAAAAATAAACTATACTAATTATAGTCTCTACGAAAAGTCTCGAAAAGCAAGAATTTGAAAAAATTTACAAATGTTTCAATTTTAAAATTAAAGCAATTTAAATTACAGTAATTTATCAAAATTGTAGAGAGATGTCGCTCCATTATAAAAATTTTACATAATACTACGGCGACATCTCATGTCACTATTTTGAAAAATAAAACACATGAAATATTAATTCTTTTTAGATTCGAACCAGTTTTAATTGAATTTACAAAAGATTTGATTAATTTGAAGATACATAAATTAACATACGTCATAATTTTTACATCAGTTTCTTAACTGATGAAAAAATTATGACGCAAAATTATAGCTGATGTACAGTACAGTACCTGTACATATTTGCATACGTTTTTTTATTTTAAAAAGATTGAGGCGAAACATCCTGTTTTCGAATGTAGAAACACTTTAAAATCAGTTTTTTACACAATAAACATGAGTCGGGCAATTTGCTAATTTGGCACATTCAATTCATATCTAGTTTCGGGACCAAGTAAAAAGAAATTAATGTCGAAAATCGAAGAATAAGTTAAACAATCCAGCAAGAAATCGCCCGTAAAATTAAACAAAAGCTCTGGTAGAAAATCATTGGGCAGTAAAATTTGACTGAAATGTAAAAATGGCCGCTTCTACAAAAGAAATTGCAGAAATCTCCGTAAAAAACATCCCCTTAATCAATTTTGTCATTTTTTTCTCCACTTCTAATAATGAAAACTGTAAGAACTGTCATAAAAATTTCTCGAAAATGAAAGTAATGTCGAAGGAATTACTACAAAAATATTAATTAAAAACAATGGTTGACGGTAAAAGAATTTCATATTTTCATTTCTTATGCACGGTATGTGGAAATGTTTACAAAGATTGAAATGTGATGCGGAAGAAGTAGTTTGCTTGAGCTGCGAACCGAAGCGTAAAATACACTTGATCGCACAATCATCGCCCTTGATGGAAGAAAGCGATACAAATGTGGATTGCAAGAATTGCGGCCGTAACTTCCTCTCTTCGTCTGTTACGGACAAGAAGATCCTGAAAGTAATGGGCATCGATGAAGGAGTCAAAGTTCATTACAATTACACGTGTCATATATGCAAAGAAAAAAAATCTATAATCGCCGATGACAATCTGGCAACATTTAAAAAACTATTTTTATGGCGCTATCTTACGGTACCGTTTATTATTAACTCGAGAAAATAACAGAAGGCGCCATTTGTTACGATATATTTTTTGTTTTGGTAAATTTTTTGGTTTTTCGAATTAAGAATTATATAAAAAAAGTTGTTATTACGAAGTTCAAGATGTAAAAAATCTAGATAATATAGGTGTTTCCTTCAGCATACATGAGAAGGAAAACGCCATCTAGTGATCGAAAAGTTCTATTATCAGGACGACCACGTATACAACGAAACATGATAATGCAAAACAAGAAAAAAATTTAAATAAAAATTAAATAAATTCTATCTCCTTTTAACATTTTAAAAACTTCTCATTCTATAGCATTAATTTAAATTTTTTTGGTAATATATTTTCAATCTTTTTCTTTTATTATCTACCATTAGATGGCGCCAGAAAGTTGACTTCAAAACAAGAAATTCGCATCGTTTAAAATAATTACTGTAATTTTTAATCACCAGAGGGCTTCTGATTAATTAATTAATTAAACAAAATTTTATAAAATTTAAGTGCATAATTTTAATCAATCGAATAAATAAACGTGTTTATACTGTTAATAATTGATAATTTTTATGGTATATAACGTAAATAGGAAATATTTTATGCATTTTTATAATATTAAAAAAATTAATTAATTTACATCCTCCGTTCTTAGAATGATTACAGAGCAAATATATTTAAAATAATAAATTTTAATAGCACCAATTTCGAAATAATACATAATAAAATTACCTAATTTAAACATTTATTGTTAATTACAACTTTACTCACTAGAGGACTATTAATAAATTAAACCCTGAAATTAAGTGCGAAGTTATTAAATAAACTAACGCTAGATGGCAGCATTGACATAAAATATTGTTAAACGTCAAAAAAGTTTTTAAAATTTTGCACTTTTATAGCCAAAATTTTATTTGTGTTCGCATACCGAAACGAATAAAAAATGTTTATAGAAGCAGAAAATACACTTCCTGGATTCATATTTTTGTATTTAAATCTTGGCCAGTTGTCAAATTGCTGGTCAAATCAAATTTTAAACTGAAAATTTCATCCAGCGCATTATTATGCGACCAAGACGCAGTTCTTGATACAACTTCCCACAGGACAATGACGGTCACGTGTTCAAGTCCTTGTCCTAGTTTAGAATATTCACCCAAACATAACCTCCATGTTCTGTAGAAACCAAGAAAAAAAACAATAATAATGATGATAATGATGCTTTGTTGTGACGTTGAACACCCCGACAGTTCAAAATAAAGAAAGAATTTTCGTAATTTATGATTATATTTTTATTATATATAATTAAATTTTATAATTTATTTGAAAAAGAGTGTGTTACTTATCTCATTTTCCCATTAATTCTTCTTAAAAATGCGAAAATTTCGTAGAATTCTGAAGTTTCGTGTCCATATTCTAAAGTTTTCTTTAAATGTTTTAATAGATAAAAATGCCAAAAAATATAAATTGTTGTGTATAAAATTAGTATTTTAAAATATTTAATATATTTATTTTTAAGTTACATATTTCTTTATATTTTATACTTTACAATAAATAGAAATTCACTAAACAAAAGTTAAGAATTTCCCTAAATTTTTATTTGCTAGTTTTTTCGTAGATTTATTTATTTATTTGGAAATTTTATTAAAATAAATAGTATTTTAGGAATTTCTCTATTTAAAATTTTTCCTAATAGCAATGCAATAATTAGGGAAATGTGCAACAAGAAATTCTCTAAAATTCTTTTATTCAGTTAAATCCCCTTTCTGGTATAAATAATTATAAATTCCCTAAACCATACAGAAAAGTTCTTTAAATTTGAAAAAATTTTTTATAACAGAATAATGAAATTGCTGAGTTATTTAATAAATTAATTAATTATTTTCTGCCAAAATAATTAATTAATAATAAATTAATTAATTTAATAGCAATAATAATAATTATTATTGCTATTATTATTACTGAATATGACTATTACTATTACATTGCTGAATTATTATTATTATTATTATTAATTCAGCAATGATTAATAAATAATAAATTAATTATTTTGCAGTAAATAATTAATTTAAATATTAAATAATTAATTAATGTTAAAAATAGTTTGAACTTAAATCATTAATTTCCCGAGTAAAGTATTTCTTTATAGGGAATTTAAACATCATCTTTTCATGCAAAAATTCTCTTAACATAAAGTTTTACATTGTTCAAGGAATTTGTCGCGTGTTCATTTATCAATATTAAACAGTAAAAATCCCTAAATAATGCCTGCAGATTTAATTAATTATTCAGGTAAAATTCTAAAAAATTCTCCGCAAATCCCTAAATCAAAGTGTTAAAGCATTATACATTAAGAATACATTTTTCTTCATATAAAATAAGGAATAGAATTAAATTTTAAGTTTAAAATAATGTAAAAACTCTGGATTAAAGTATAAATTTATTACACGAAACTTAATTAAATTTAATTCAATGACTTTGCCGAGTGTGAAATTACTTGGCTGAATCACACTTTCAGTTGGATCAGAGATTACAATGAGTTAAAGCTTGATCAGTAAGCTAATTTTAGATACAAGAATTGATTTACGAATCCAATTCCATACGAAATTTTGGCTGT